TGTATGCATATCGAGCATAAACATCCGCAGAAAGCAATTATTTTATCGTTATTTCCGCAACTGTGAAGTTTTTGATATAGCTATCAACGCGGGTTCTTATTATTCAACTCGTTATTGTTTATTTTATTTTGTTTTCGAAGGGAGGATCGATACATATAAACGCGTACTTATAAATTCTACGTCAAACCCAATGAGACATATTTATGGGAGGATGTGCTGTTAAGATTTCCAACCCCCAGAGCAATGGCGTATTAAAGATTTTGACGCTCCGCGGCAATTTTTATTTGGCATCCATACCCAAAACTCACGAGATAATGCCAACACGCATACACACACTCCATACTTATATAAATCTGTTATGATGAAAAATGCGTGCTTGCCTATTAGAATATATAGATTATAAATCCTTTTATATTTTTATCCATTTTTGTTAGAGTATCAAGTTATTTGAACAAACTCCCTTCATCATTATCCTTATCTCATTTCCCCATAAAAAAAAAAGTCATTTGAACGCCACCGAATCACAAATTATACTTTGCGTAACACATGAGTATCATCACAATATTTTATTTGGGCTAAGCCGTCTATACACCCCAACCTCCTTACACTCACTGGTCGTAAACACGTCACTTGTCGAAGCCTTGGACTGCATTTGCCGTCATTGTCTTCGTATTTGTCCATGTCAAAAGGAAACATAGCAAAAATGCGTATTCGTACTATAATAATACCCAATGCTCGTTGATCATGTAAATGTTATTTTTAGTACTTGCCATAATAAACACGAGATAGTGTACAATATTTATTTTTTTTTGAAATCTTAATTGGCCAATTTTGTATGATTTTTTTTTTTAAAGGCCAATTTTCAAATACTAATAAAATCGGTTTGAAAAATAAAAATCAAGAAAACAGTTTTACAAACATTTGGTACAATTGTTCGTATTTATTTCGTCACTAAAATTAAGTTTACGCGACTTGAAGCCTGAATACTATTGTCAGTACGAAAACAGATTTTTTGCTGTACGAGACGACAAATACAGATCCAACGTCCTAACAATTACCAGATATGCGAAAATATGATTGTTATCCGTATATAAAATCAAGACTGCCTATTATCAAAGATTATTATTATAGTTGAAAGTTACGAATGTTCCGCTTACATTTAACGTTGCGCTACAATTATTTTATCTCTGCAGTTTGACAAGTCATGCGAAACGTACCGGCAAATTTGGCTTTTATGTTTAAAACTTGTTCGTAGGTCGACTTCTGGTAAATGTAGTCTGAAGAAGATAAGTCATAGCATTTCATAATTTCTTGGAATTGTTTTTTTCTTCCGAAAATATAAGTCTTATACTTATTACTAATATCAAATGACAATGATTGAGTTAAACCTAATGCATCAGCAAAATAACACAAATTATCCCGTTCTAATTGGCGTTATCCTTATCAGTTATCATAATGGATCGTTATTGCAATATAAAAAATAGTTTTAATACATAATTATAGAAATATTAAAAATCGATCAAATTCAATATTTTAATTTATATGTGTCACTCTTTATTGATCGGTATGTTAATGGTATTTATAGGCATTAAATTGTATAATACAATTAAAAGTTATTAAAACGTGATTTGTATTCATAATTTGTTTTGATGTCAAAAGAAACAAAAATTATTTAACTTTTTAAATTCGTATGTCCTTTTTCCAAACATTTCTATCAAAAATCATACTTCAATCATCAATTTCGGGACCGGTTTCTGATATAAAATGTGTTGTTTAGTTGCTGCATTGAATTTTTTTTTTTACATTTCTTCTAGGGAGTTTTCTTAATGGTTGGAAATAAATGACAAGAAAACGGGGAATATTTAATAGCTACAACGGCTTCAGTTATTTTCGATTTTGTTTTTGTTTTTTAACTTAAATATTGATTCGATTAGAAATAATCGTAAATGCTTGTAATTTTCACAGAATAATTTGATCAACCATTTTTAGAAGTAGTAAAATTCTAAAAATATTTTGAATTTTTCTTAATATTTATTTGAAATTGTTCATTTTCGTTTAGTTTTATGTCAATAAAAATATTTTTGGCCTTTCAAAATTGATCGAAAATTCAATAAAAAGTTCATTATAATTTTTTTTTTGTTGCTCTTCTGGTACTTTAAAAATATCGTTTATGATCGTTTGAAGTTAAATTTTCGATAAAATTCATAAAAAAAAATCACGTCATTTCAAAACATGCATAAAACTTAGCTCAGAAAAGTTTTTCGTTAGCAATGATTACCGTTGGGCTGTGCGTACAGATATTAATTTAACTATTCTATACAAGCATATTCTACTTTTATGACGTTTTTATGTTTAAGTGACAGAATTTCAACAGTGATCGTGTTCGGTTTTAACGTATTATACATACCTAATCAAATTAATAACGAAAATAGCTTACTTTCCGTGCCAACCATATAATTACCGGACCCGATTTAGGTACCTAATATAATAATTAATTATCAATTAATTGGGTTGATTGTTCTTGAATATTTTTACTATTATACAATTTCTACAATATAACAATTCTTACGATTTTAATATACAGCGAATCTGCGTGTTTATTGTTTTTTTTTTTTTTTATTTTACTCCGACTATCGCATAATAAAATGTGATATTAAATACCGATTTTCCGTCGAAAAAGAACCCTACAACTAATTTAATTAATATCATGTCCTCTGTAAAAATTTATCGTCGAGTTTATAAAATGTGCGGTATTATATTAAAGTATTGTATAGGTAATTGGGTTTTTAAGTTAAAACCCGCAACCACTACTTGATATTCAGAGCACGAAAATATGTCCCTTTGGAATTCACCCCGAACACGTACAATATTTAATATTTAGTCTTCGATATTACGTATCACTACTCTCCGAATATTTTACACGCTCTGTATAAATTGTAAACCGTCATAAATTCAATATCCGTCAAAGGTTTAATCGATTATATAATAAATAATACTATATAATAATATAATCGAATAAATGTTATAAAATATACAATAAAAACAAAAAAAAAAAAAAATAAAACGTTCAGACGGGGGAAAAAATGTACATGCAATTACAAAATTGGTTATTATATTATTGCTTTATATATTTGCATCATTTTACGAACAAAATCATATTTTTATCAGTCCCTGCTAAAATTTGATAAAAAGTTTCTCCTTAAGACGTCTCTATACCAACATTTATTTTCTCCGCCTTCGTTATAATATAGCAACAAAGGTATTCCTCACTTTTATGGTTGCGGTTCTCTGATCGAGTTTGTTGGTAAAGGGATCTATTATAGTCCATTTTATAAATAGGAGTATTTACTATAGTTCAACCAAAATATTTTACAACAAACTAAAATGGTTAGAATTAAAAGGAATCGAATTAAATTAAACCGCGCATATCACGATAAAAAAAAATAAAGAAAAATAAAATAAAAACATAAAAAAAGCCATTCAGTTCGAGGCGTGATAAATACTATTTTTTAATAAAATGTCCCTTTGCCGTGGAAATTCGGAATGCCTTTGTTGCTATATCATGCCCGTGACAGACAGATAAAAGAAATCTTAGTGTATGAGCCCCATGCACAATCATTCAAGGTTGTCAGTAAATATGAATACCACTCGCGATTATCCGTGTATGTAGTGTCAATCTTTTTTAACGACTGATGAATTTCAAACATGTTTAATTTTTTGTTGTCAATCACAGTGATTGACAAACACGACTGACAATGTATAGTGATGATTGATACGCGTTATCAGTCAAAAAAAATTAGTTAAACTTTTATCAGATACAAACATTTTTATCATATTCGATTTTTTTAAAATTTGTTTTCCGTTTCTTTTCGTCATTTGAATTATCTTTTTCCGGAGCTATAACTATTGTAACACATGCTTCTTCCATTTACAATAGCTTAGAATATATGAAAATTTTCAACTGTGGTATTCGTAACAGCACACAACAAACAAAAACACAAAAACATATGTATCTAGGTATCTTATATTCGACGGCATTTGTTCCGGAACAATCTGAACTGAAAATTAGTTGTCTCTCACGATTTACCATGTAAGTTAAAAATAATATTCGTTTAGTGTAAATCACGAAAAACTGACAACGCCAACTGATCATGTATGGCCCCCTTTAAATAAAATCGCCATTATTTTTTGCAAACTGTTAAATCTTGGTAGAATTTTTGCTTACATACAAATTATCACCACGTTCTGTAAACTGTTTCACTTCGTTCGTCCTTTAAATTGGCCTCCCACCCAGTGACTACCTAATTTGATTTCCCCTATAATCTTACTTATTTCCTCACATATGAGTAATATATTATTTTAATAGTCTTGTAAATTATTATTCATTTCAGATCATCGGCATCGTGTCCGTGTTCTTTATATGCGTGTCGATCCTGTCATTTTGTCTAAAAACTCACCCAAACATGCGGGTACCGATCATCAAAAACATCACGGTGAGCACGTCGCACAACACGACCGCCTGGGTGCTAGACAAAACCCAGACGAACGCGCACGAGGCGTTTTTCTACATCGAGTGTGTGTGTAACGCGTGGTTCACGTTCGAGATAATGGTGCGGTTCATAGCGTCGCCGAACAAGTGGGAGTTCGTCAAGGCATCGGTGAACATCATCGACTACATAGCCACGCTTAGCTTCTACATCGACCTCACACTGCAAAAGTTCGCGTCCCACCTAGAGAACGCCGACATACTCGAGTTCTTCTCCATAATCAGAATCATGAGGCTGTTCAAGCTGACCCGGCACTCGTCCGGCCTGAAGATACTGATGCAAACGTTCCGGGCATCGGCTAAGGAGCTGACGTTACTCGTGTTTTTCCTGGTGCTGGGTATCGTGATATTCGCCAGCCTGGTATACTACGCGGAGCGCATCCAGGCCAACCCGCATAACGATTTCAACAGCATACCGCTGGGCTTGTGGTGGGCTCTAGTCACCATGACCACGGTCGGTTACGGGGACATGGCGCCCAAGACGTACGTGGGCATGTTTGTCGGAGCCCTGTGCGCGCTGGCCGGAGTATTGACCATCGCACTGCCGGTGCCGGTCATCGTCTCCAACTTCGCCATGTACTATTCTCACACGCAGGCCAGGGCCAAGTTGCCAAAAAAGCGGCGCCGGGTGCTGCCGGTCGAGCAGCCCCGTGGACCTCGGCTCCCCGGCCAGGGGCCACCGCCCATGAACCAGATGAACCAGCAGGGTGGTGGGTGCGGCACGGGCGGCGGCAGTGGCGGTCACGGGCCGTGCGCCGGTGTCGGTGGTCTGCCACCAAACGTGGCCGGGGCACCGGTAAACACCACCGGCGTGCCGGCCGTCAACCGTCGGATGAACGCCATCAAGAGCAATCACCCCAAAGACGGGGCAGGCCCGAAAGTCGGTAAGTTTCAAACGATTCAGAATTTACAATACAATATTGTACAAGTCGAGTTGAGTTGAGTTAAGTTAATATAATTTTGTACATTATATACGTGGCTGGTTATTATGCGGACAAAGTTTATATTTGGCTTTTTTTACCGCGGCTTTATAATACTGGCTTTTGTTGCAAGCTGTACACCTGGCAGACGACTGGCGGTTTTACGAGAGCATATTGTATTTTATATAACAGCGAATTTCTCGAGCGACGACGGCACACAATGGGTTCAAATTTACAACGTGTTTTTTTTTTTTTTTTACATTTCCATCGTTAGTTTTCACCTATAGCAAAAGACCTTGTCTTTCAAACTGTATGTTACCTATACAATCAATTTCATCGTGAAGTGAAATAAATATTTTTTTTTCAGAAAATATTCTTCATGAAAACTTTACCAAAACGTACAATATTCTAAAATGTTACATTTATCTTACCTTTTTGTTTAAGTTGGTCGCTTATGTCAGCGAAATCATTACCATCGTATTTAAATTTCAAAATGGTGACTTAAATTAGAAATTCCATAAATAGATAAAGTTTTAATTTAAATAGTTGAATATTGTTCAACTATACTCTCTCCCTGCACACAAAACGACAAACATAAAAGTTACGTGGGAAATTGCCAAATCCCACCGACATACCTTGAATACATCATCTGGCTTGCGGCTGCCATCACGTATCTTTAACGTGCACAGATCGTTACAATGAGCCGACTAATTTGTTGATATATTCATATTATGTACTCTGCACCGATTTCCTAAAACGTCCGAATATTATCGCCTTTAACGTTTAATTGATTTGTCCTGTAGGTACCTATCTCTGCCTATTTCTAATGCGAGTCCATATTTTCGTGTTGAATTAATTATTCTTGCGACTGTTCAGACTAAGTTGTGCGCGTTTTCTGTGGCACTCCCACCCGCCTAACCTTCGTTCTAATCAAACTTCCCTAATTATTCGTTTGCCATTATTGTACTTAAAGTCTTGATGGTGTATTCATTGTTGTTGCCTTATAGTATAATGGCTGTTAAAACCATGTTTCAACTATATGCGTGATTTTAAATCACGGTGATGATTAATGAATCTGCTCGTAAGACGTTAGAGATCTGCCAGTGCCATTGCATTTCGCATATTAATTATCGAACCAACGCCGCAAATTCAACAACACTTTTCGTCCGAAATAATATACATGTATATTATAATGATAATGACACGAAACAAGTACAGACGTCGAGACAATTACACGCCTTGTCTACGAAGTTCAAAACAATACAAATTTTAAAACACAGAGTTTTTTTATGCGAAATACCTATGCTTTTATTGAAATGTCTATCATTGATAAAAACGCCATTAATTATGTATTATTATCACGGGTGAAGATACTATGATTTCCCAATGAGCTATGATAAACGACCACTAAATATACAGAAAATAAGGGTTCTAACGCTTTTAATAAACCATCTATTCATTATTATTGACACATTAAAGAATATTATCTTACTCTGTTGTAAAATTCAACGATGCGGTTCTTTAAAACTATTAGTTCTTATATTAATCGCTAGTTGCCAGTACTTGTTAAATATCACACAACTTTTAGATTCATATCATATGCTTCATAATGATTTGGTTTGTTCAATAGTTTGTCGGGCAACCGTATACTATTATGGTTATAAAACTATTAAAACACTAGCCATAGCTATTTTAAGCGCTACATTTCAATACACATTGTGGTTGTATATCCAATTTAAGTATATAATTGAACTCACGAAGTCAAGAACAGGAGTTATGGTAAATGTTTTTCCCCAAAATTCTCGTGAACTTGTGGATTTATACAAAAACCAATTAATTTCGCAATAATTCTGAATAGTTACGGTAGCCGTCCAAAATATCTCAAATCGATATTTATCTAGTAAAAAATATTTCCGTTGCGATATATCTCATGAAAAATATCTGTATACAAAATATTTTCTGTCCAAATATATCTCAAAAAAATTCTTCTTGGTTAATATGAATACACATTTATGTTTTTAGTACATTTTTTACCGATTAATATAAAATTCATTAATAACTTTAAATAATACTTAAATAATTTTTGAAATACATCCAACTGATACAACATGAGTTTGTGCTGTTATATTATAAAAAATAAAAATAGATTTAATTATGAGTAAACGTATAATTTCAAATTAGATTATTTAGAGATATTTAATACTAGAGATTATTAATTGTTGGTGATATTTTGACCGAGGATTTTTCCCGGTAATTTTTTGACCTGCAACTAACATATTTACGAAATATGGTAACAAGTGACTGTTGAAAAACGATAAAAAAAAAAATCAATTAGCATCGCATGTACCAACAATTGGAACCACGATACCGCGTTTTGTTCGAAACTGGACGGAAAGTGTGTTGAATGAGCGCCGTCAGTCTTTTAATTTTTTTTTTATTTTTTTTAAAACTGCTAAATGCTAATCATACTGCTTATTGTTGTGTGTTTATAATATTATGCTTACAGAAACCGATCCCGCCGTAAGATACTAATCGATAACGCACACTCTGAACATACCTAATAAAAAAAAAAAAAAAAAAAAAAATAAAAAAAAAAAATACATCAACCTGTACAACGGTACCTATATCTATATAATTTATTTAATAATATATACATACATCATTATGAAAAAAAAATATTGTAATTTAATGTAAAAAACACACAAACACAGACGTTTTTCTGTATTTTATGTTTTTTTAATATTATTCGCACGAATGGTGTTTTATTACACTCTTAACGGGCTTATGCCATTACTACAATTATTATTTGCTACCGTTCGGAGTACAAACATTTTAGTAATAATAATAGTATTTAGTTATTAAACACTGGAGAACGTTCCGAAACTATTTCACTTTAGTTTCACTGTGGCCAGTTGCGCATTTACGGGAGGGGGAAGGATACTTTTCCCCACCACCGATGGCCGTACCTGTGTTAATGTATTTCATCAGATGGTAAATACTAGTGTGAGCACTTCTGAATAGTTTGTATGCTGTTGACAGTTTTCGATAGTTTGGATGTATCTTTCAATTTTTTTTTTTTTCACAATATATATTTTAACTATTCAAACAGCATTTACTCTATCAAAAAGTTAAAATACGTTCAACTATGGAAAATTTCGACAATAACTATTCACCATTAGGTCGCGTTTATCATTAGTAAATACTATAGTTATTTATTCTGTATACTATGACTATTGACTATACTTTATAGAATTTGCTTTTATTAAGTATAACAGTTAATTTAATAATGCTCTATGAAGAGTTTCAATTAAGTTCTTTTTGGTTATTGTTCAGAACTTGCTTTAAGATACAGAATATAACCACCTTTGCAACAAAGTTCGAACACTCGATAATTATTTCGTACCTTGTGGTTTCCCACAATATATAGGTCGCTCCCACTGAGAATTCTACCCATAGTTGCGTCGGATTATTTCAAAAATAATCCGGAAAATTATTATACAACGTCATAAACATATTGTATAATTGTACTCGTTAAAGTTATGAACGCTTAATTCGTTTGAAACATAATAGAAGCGAAAATTTACCGCGGTGACATGATATTATTTTATATGTAAGTATGTTTTTTTTTTATCGCGTTCCATCCGATTTTTAGCATTGTCCTCCGTTAGGGTATATTATATTAAGCGGATAGGTAAGTGGTTGTTGTGTCGTAAATAATTTAATACCAGTAAAATATTATTCAATACCCGTTTAAATGTTAATAAATTTTAATTTTACAATAGCTAAGTTATAAATGTACCCACGTTATTATTATTATATTATAATATTATCCTTTTGTAACCCAACGGACGTAGCCTTTGCGAAGTGCACTGACAGAGAGTTCAAAGGTAATCGTAGTTAGGGAGAGCGATGCACGTTACTAACAGAACGCTCCTTTGCCGTAGATCTTATATTTGCATGACTTGTAGTATAATATTATTATAATTATTGTTGTATTCGCATTGGCCAATAAACACAATGATTATTCGTCTATTCGCAGGAACCCAGCTCTTTTGAGCCGCGTGGTAAATTAAAAAATAAAAAAATATATTGATTTCTGAATATTAAATTATTAATTTCTGAAATGATGTACCTGTTTCAAATGAGGTTCTTTTATACATAGAATAATTGTTCCGGGAAATGTTGGCACAATACTCGATACAAGACTGCTTTCGAAATTTCAGATTTTCGAGTTAAGGTTAAAACCACCATTTCCGAGAAAAAAAAAATTGGTGATGGGTAAGGCACTTCAAAATCAGTATCTGGATACTAGATACATTGATTTTCAGTATATTTGTAAAATATAATGTATACTTATGTAATAAGTATTACAATATACGATACTCGATACTTGCGTTTTATAGATTTAATTAATATATACTTGATACATTAAAATTTAAATATTGATTACATTTTTTACGTATGTAGTATATTAAAAACTACAGTAGTTCTTTACATAAAAAATATTTCCAAATTGTTACACATTTCCTCTACTTTTGTACAATCACATTTAATTTTAAATGCCTTTGAAAAAAAAACCAGGGGAAAAACTAACACGGCTTGCCCCATTTCAGGTAAAAATAAACAAGATACTTTAAAATTAGTACTT